TTATAGATCACTGCGAGTCAGAACTGAGTCAATGGCAGTAATTGGGTTTTGATACATTAGGGTGAGTTTTGGGGTGGTTTTGGTTTTGGTAGAGGGAAAGGCTCAGACTGACAACCCCCTTCCCCTCCGCCCAATCTGCCCTTTTCCCCACCTCATAGCCTCACTGCTGACTATTCTTAATCCTTTCAGAGATTCTTAAATGTATTATGTGTGCAAATGCTCCAACGATTGACTCCTTTTTTACACAAAGGGTAGATTTTATACACATGATTGATGAGACTGGGTCACCCCCAAAGGAACTCTGGGAAAACCGGGCAACTCCGGGAAGCAGCGCTGCTCCGTGGCATAGGGTCAGCGGGGGGCTCGCTTCGGGCCGTCATCATCTGCCTGGTGTGCGCCATCTTTCTCTCATCTCCGATTCTGCCCCAATGTCCGCGGCTTCTCTCTGCAGCACGACTTCGGCCTGGAGAGGAAGGCTCTCTTCTGGGCGGAGGCCGCCGTCCGGGTGCCCAGCCCGCGCCAGTGCGCTGGCCCGGGCACAGCGTCAGCGCCCCCGGCCTGGTTCTTGCTGGTCAGCGCCGAGGACCGGCCAGTGCCAGCGCAGGCCGCAGCCCGAGGTCCGAACACGGGGCCCCGGGAGCAGTGCGAGGAGGAGGAGAAGCGCGTCCCGCCGTCCGGCCGGCGCCTGTGCTCTCGGCCCTCGGAGCCGCCGCCCCGCGGACCCTCCCCGGTAAGCACCGCGCCCTCGGGTGCCCAGCCCACTCCGCAGCCTCCTGCAGTGCCCTTCGCGGCTCGGCGCACGGGTGCGCCAGGCATGGAGTTGAATTCAGGAATGCGCCGCAGAGCTCGAGCTCTCCACGGTGAGAGGGGTGGGCGAAGGGCAGGCCCAGTGGCGGCATGGCCACGGCACAGTTCGTTACCTCCTGCCAGGCCCGGGGCTTGGAGAGGCCAGGCCCAAGAGCCGGCCAGAGGCGGTCGGGGACCGAGCCTCGAGAGAAAGGTGAAGTGTGGCAGGCCGAGGCGTCCTCAGGACAGGGGAGTGGCCAGTGGCCAGCCATGGGAGCAAAAGTGATTCTACAGTGAAGCCCATGTTGGGACAGCCTCAGCCCCCTCCTGGGGCCGTACTGCATCTTGTATTCATAATCGTGTGTCCCTTCCAAACTGGGAGAGTGACATTCCAGAGTGGGCACTGCTGTCCGCTGCCGCCCACACCCCAGGCAGGCCAGGCTCGGGCAACAGAACAAGACCCCGGGGAAATCACCTTCCAAAGTCAGCCTGAGTCCACATCAGGGACTGGGTGTTGTTGCCAAGTGCTTCTCTGGCGGAGGTTAAATTCAGATGGCCGCAGCAGCGGCCCTGTTGGGGACAGGAGCTAATGACGGTCTTGTTCTGTAGGGGAGGAACTAGAAGCAAGGAGAGGCTAAAGAGCTTTTGAAAGGTCGCAAGAATAAACTCAGGGTGGGCCCTAGGACGGGACCAGAGCAAGGAAATTCTTGAGAAGGCGGGGAATTCACACACGATGCCTCAGGCCCAGGACCCACGGCAGCAGCTCTATGGCCCTGGGCCTGGGATCAGCAAACTTCAGCTCTCCAGCCATATGTGGTTTCTTTTCAGTACATAGTTTTATTTAAAGGATGTTATTCATTTAACACTTTCATTTTTTTAAGAAAAAATAATGTATTTATGGCTCTTGAATAATTTTAAATTGTGAGGTACAGGATTGGTTTTTCTGTCCTAAAAGCTTGCCGACCCCAGCCCTAGGGGATTGGAAGGAGGCAGGTGCGCTTGTTTAGGGTTGGCAGCTGGTACTTCTTTGGGGGTGGGGGCTAGGGGAGGGCATGAGTCGAGTGCTGCTGACCAAACCGGTGGGACAGCTCCAGGCCGTCCTCCGGGGTAGGGCCTGTGTGCGCCTTCTCACCAGTCTTGCCACGACGGATGGGTGGGCAGATGTGCCCAGTTCCTGCCAAGTCAGCCCCTGTCAGATGGCAGAGGAGGTCTGCTGGCAAGATGGGAGCGAAAAAACCTTGGCTTTGATTCTGAATAGAGTTTAGATCACTAATGCGTATGGCTGATTGGATCACTACCTTCTCTGAACTCAGCTCAGTGTCTATCGAGAGGGACAATAAGTATGGGCCGATCATATTTCTTTCGCGGGTAGTTGGAAGCATTAAATGAAGTGTTACCATCTACCACATCCAGACACTTGGCTAATCACTTTTCTCATATGGTCTTATTGAAGCCCCACCACACACCTGTGCGTGCGGTGGCTACGATTGCTCCATTTTGCGCACGGGTTAACTGAGCAAATGGTGAAGAGCTGTATAGGGAAACTAGTCTGTGAGATGCCAAATCCTGCATAATATTAGCCCCTACATTCTACATAGAAGATGGTCCAAAAGCTTTAAAAAAACGTCCGTCTCAGCAGGGTATCACTTCTGAGTGGTATGCAAACGGTTTATCCAACTCACCTTGTGTTTCAGTCTCTCAGCCCAGACCCCCGCCTGCCACCCACTGGGAGTGTGCCCCAGCCTCTCAACCCGAACCAGTCACACCCCGATTCTTCTTCGGCTGACCTGCTCTCTGCCCTGAGCCAGGAGGAGCAAGACCTCATCGGGCCTGTGGTGGCTCTGGGGTATCCCCTGCGTAGGGCCATCGCAGGCCTGCAGAGGACAGGGAGACAGAGCCTGAGCCAGGTGAGTGGAGCCCATGATGGGGATTGTTGGGCTGCAGCTGCTTGCTCATCACATCCAGATGCTAGTCTCTGATAGAAGCTTTCAGAGATTAGCATCCCAGGTTATTCTAAACTTCGAGCGCAGGTTTTGAACTTCCATATAACTGAGAATGTGAGAGGCTCCACAGAGGAGTGAGGCCACCCAAAGGGCTGGAAGAAAAGTCCAGCCACAGGGAAGTGATGAATGTTCAGCTACCAAGTTCTGTGTTACAAACTGCTGAAACGTAGTAGCGGAAAATATGTGTTTATTTGCTCATATTCTGTGGGTTGGCAGTCTGAGGTGGGCTCGGTGGAAATAATGTGTTTCCCCATGGTCTTATGCGACCCCTGTGAAAGAGTCCTTTGACCCCCACAGGGATCTCGACCCACAGGTTGAGAAGTGCTGCTCAAGTGATTAAGCCAGGCTTCATGGAGTCACTAGGCCTTGAGCTGGACTTCAGGACTGATGAAATGTGCATTGGTAGGAAGGAGAAGAGATGATGTTCTAGAGATGAGGGACGGTGTTTGAGAGACCCGGATTCACACCTGCCCTGTTGGAGTAGAGGGCACATGATGCAGGCTGGTGGGAGATAGGTAGGGAAGAGGAGTTGGAGGCAGAGTGACGGTACCTTGAGTGCTGAGCTGAAGCAAAAAGGTTGTGAACAGAGACAGGGCAGAAGGTGATACTGAATGTCATTGTCAGAACTTATAACCCTCCACTGCCATGTAACACCCCCTTTGTGTAACCAATGGTGCATGCCAGCCATCGCTGTGTCTCTTTCCATCCCTGGTTGAAAAGCTGGGCCGCTGGTTCTGGGGCAGTTGGCACTCACTCCTTTCTCCTGCCCTGCACTATCAGAGGGCTTGGGATGTCCTGTCCACAAACACTGATGACTCCTCAATGCTGGCTCTCTGAGGCTGGGGGAAGGAAGGACAGAAGGACAATGAGGGACTCAGACAGAAGCCATGTGTTAGACTGAGTTGTGCAGAGAAATAAAACCTGTGACACTCGTAAATGTATAAGAAAGAACTTTTTACCAAGAGGTAAGTTTATATCAAGAAAGCACCCCAGCCCAGTGGAACACAAGTCCCTGGGTCTGATGCTAGCCAGAGCCCTCTTGAGACTCACAAAGCTGCAGGCTGCTACTGTGGAAAGGGATAGGATGCAGGAAGCTCACAGTGGGTGCGGAGCCAGGGGATCCAAGACTGGTAGAAACATGGCAGGGTGCTGATGGCTCTCAAGCTTCGGCGGCCCATGGGCCACCCCTGCAGGCACATAGAGCCCAACATGCAAGGAGGAGGGAGAACAAAGAGAAGGGAAGTCCGCAATTTCTGCCTTGCAAAAGGCCACGCCCCCATGAGACTGACCTGATTGACAGGCTGGCCTCCACCCCGCCACTTTCATGCAAGTTCGAGTGGACACAAACATCCAACCACCACAAGCTAGAAATAAGATGCGCTACCGCCAAGTGGGGAGGTGGGGAAAGACATGCAGCCTCCTCCTTCGCGGTCCTGTGCTGGAGGAAACCTTTCTGCAGGGTAGCCCCCGCATGGGGCGGTGAGAAATACTAGTACCCTCCTTGTGCTAGCCTTCAGTCTGAAGGGACCCTAGTAGACATCTTCAATCCAGCAACGTAGCTGTTATTGTCTCCATTTTGCTGATAAGGAAATTGAGGCCAGAAAGATTCTTACAGTCAGTCAGTGGCTGCACGAGGATTCAAGCCAGTCTATCTGATTCCAGACCTTGTTGCACCGTGACAGGTTCTTATTTTTGTCTGAGAACCTCATGGGACTGCCTCCCAGGCAGATGTGAAAAATAGGAGTAGATCTGGAGGGGCCACTACCTTCAACTGTTGCAAAAAACTGAGGGGCTGGGCCAAGAAGCCAGCCAAGAGGGTTGTGAGGGAACAGGCTTCCTGGTGGGCATTCTGACTTGCCCCCAGCCTCTCCATGCCCAGGGTTAAAGCTCTGCTCATCTCAACAGTGAGGGTGGGGTGGCAGGGGAGTATTAAGGTTAGTCAGCGCACACAGGGTCCTGGCCTCCCTACGGGTGGGCTGGAAGTGATCTCCAGACATGACCCACCACATGCCTGGCCCATGGATCCCTGGGAGGCCTTCTTCCCCAGTGGACAGCCAGGGTCCAGGCACCGAGGGCTGGATGACTTCGCCCTCTCTTCCCAGCCAAGTGTCTTCTGTCTGTTGTGGGCATTAACTGAGTTCAGCGCCTTTCTCCTCCCCACAGACAGACAAGCTAGTTAACCCTCTATCCAGAGAAAAGCCGCCAGCGGCCCGGGAGGGAAGGTGTCAGGGGAAGGAAGGAGCGGCTCTTGGAGGTGTCGGGGAGAAAGGAAGGCAGAGGAAAGACAAATGCTGTCCCTCCCTCCTTCCCCACTGACCGCTGTGGTCCCTGAATGTCTGGCAGCACAGGTGTGGGACAGGCCAGAGCCGGCTGACTGCGGCACTGTAGGCACGTCAGGCTCCTTTGAAGGGGCATACCTGTGTGGAGTCAAGGACTTCTGGGTGTCCCTCTAGCCCTGATCACCCCTGATCAGAGACTGATACCATCACCCTCCTAGAGGCCTGGTGGCCCCAAAGCCAAATGCAGATTCTGAGACCTCACCCTGCAGGTCCCAGTCCATAGATCTGGGGTGGACCTCAAGCCCCGCACCCAAACAACCAAACAAACATTACTGTTGTGTTGATTTCAATTCATAGTGCTCCTATTGGACAAACCAGAACTGTCCCTTGAGTCTGAAAGGGAGCCCTGGTGTAGAATGGGCGTTGCCCGTAGCACAAACCCACCAGCTGCTCTGTGGGATAAAGACATACAGTCCCAGAACCCTCTGTAGAGTCGCTATGGTCCGAATTGACTTGACGACAGTGACTTGGGGGGTTGATTTTAATTCTTTACAGAGGCCAACTGCCACATCTTTCTCCCACGGAGTGGCCAGTGGGCTCAAACCACTGATCTTTTGGTTTGCAGCCAAGTACTTTAGCCACTGTGCCACCAGGGCTCAAGATAGAGATGAAGGGCCTATCATTTTAAAAGGGCTGGAAATGGCTCTGATAGGCAGCCTGTCCTGGGGCCTACTGGGCTGAGTCAGGCCTCGCTTGAATCATTGATTGAAAAATGGCTGCACCTGAGAGTCACATGGAGCGCTATTAAAACACCCCTAAGCCTAGGCTGCATCCTGGACCAATTGTAGAAACTCCGGAGGTGGGGCCCAGGCAGCTGCCATTTCGAATCCTCCACAGGTGGTTACAAGTTTGAGAACCCATACCTGGAGACGACTCATGAAGTGAAGAAACACCCACCTCTTTCCCGTGGTCCCCTCTTCCCGGGTCCCGTTGGAAAGCCTGTCTACCTTCCAGCAGCTCCGAGTGTCTCGTCAGCTGCTGACTGATGGACACAGGTCTGTCGAGGGAGGCTTGTCCTGCCTGGAGCTCAGCTCCTCCATTGTAGAAGCAAACCCGGAGGGTAGGGTCCTGCCCACGGGACAGCTCCCAGAACAGCTCTGACCTTACTTTTAGGGGTGAAGCCTCCTGGGGCTCCGGACCAATAGTTCAGTAGTAAAAACCATTTGAAAGCATTAGTCTGGATCAGGGGTGGGAAAACTTTTGAGATGGAAGAGCCAATCCTGCCCCTAACACCATTTAAAAATTATTCGAGAACCATAAATAGATTTTTACCAACAAATGAAATCACCGTGATCTGAATAATATCCTGTAAAATTTTCAATTTTACTTCAGAGCTACATGTACACACTGAAATAGCGCCGATGGGTCTCGAGCTGCAGTTTGCCCACCCCTGCTGCAGACGGGGAGTGTCTTTTATTGGGCTCTCTCTGAAAGTCTGCAGGAACCTGCCCTTCTTTGGTGTTTTTTTTTGTATTTTTGAGTGAGTGAGACAGTGAGAGAGTGAGAGTGAGTGAGAGAGAGAGAGAGTGAGTCAGTGAGAGAGTGAGAGTGAGTGAGAGAGAGAGAGAGTGAGTCAGTGAGAGAGACAGTGAGAGAGTGAGAGTGAGTCAGTGAGTGAGAGAGAGTGAGAGAGTCGAACTTGCCCTTCTTCACGGAGCTCACCCAGCATACTCATGGTCTGGCACCCTCATCTGGCACCAACTGCTTATAAGCCCCGCTTTGATTGACTTGGCACTTATGTCTGTCCTTTTGGGTCTGGCTTATCCCCCCACTGACCCAGGGCTCTGTGAAGGCTGTTGGACTTCAGTTCATAAACTTGGCATACATTATTGAGCTCATGCCTGCCCTGCTGGGATCTGGGGACACAATGGTGTTGCTGGCACCACCCTTACCTCCGGGAACAAAAAGTTAGTGAACGAGAAGATGACAAGGATAAGTAAGCAACTAGTCCTATCTGCTGATGGGTGCTCAGGGAGTTGAGGGTCGCAGAGACTTCTGAAGAGAAGTCTGGCCTTGGGTTGGGTGAGGAGGGATAGAGGCTCGGGGTAGGGTCAGAGCAAGCCTTTGAACCCTGATGAGGAGGGACCCAGAGCAGCTCCCTGGTGGCTTAAGCAGAGAGTGACTTGAATGGTTTCGGCCCCAGAGGGGCCTCTGCTGTCTCCCTGGGCTGCCCTCCCCTCCCTACACTGTGCATCACGGCTGTAGGGCTGTCGATGATGGAAGCTCTTGCAGTCATAGGTGACAGATGGGGTTGGGTCAGGTGAGCACCTCCCACCTGTGGGTGCTCACCAGGGAGACTGGGTGGGCTTTGTGGGTGGGTCAGGGGGGCTATGTTTGAGGCCGGGCCCCTCTCCACATTAGGCTCTGGGAACATACATCTAGCCCACTCAACGGCCCCTCTCAGAAATTCCAGCCTCCGGCTTGGGACAGTTGGTAGAGACCCACTGACATCCATCTGGGAGGAGGCTCCTGCCTGTCTTTTGGGGTCTCCAGGGACATGTGTATGTGTTTGGGGGGTGGGGTGTCCCTGCCCATCTTTTGGGGTTTCTGGGGCCGTGATGTGTGTGTGTGTGTGTGGGGCACTGCCCATTCCACTTAGCGCAGAGCTCCCCCTGGTCTACTGCCCTGCCGCCACACTTATTTTTTTTTAAAACATTTTATTAGGGGCTGATACAGCTGTTATAGTCAAGGACTTCTGGGTGTCCCTCTAGCCCTGATCACCCCTGATCAGAGACTGATACCATCACCCTCCTACATTCTACATAGAAGATGGTCCAAAAGCTTTAAAAAAACGTCCGTCTCAGCAGGGTATCACTTCTGAGTGGTATGCAAACGGTTTATCCAACTCACCTTGTGTTTCAG